CCACGGTCCCAACGGACGCTGATCGGCGCGCGGGGAGCCGATCCGCATGGTCACGAGAGCGACGCCAGGCCAGTGCCAGCGCGTGGGCCGCCCCGTCGCTGCGGCGTGTCGACCGAGGGCAGGGCTGGCCAGGGCGGGGCGCGCGGCCTGCACGATGCGTCGACGGCGGCCGACGTGTGGGCACGCTGGCGTGCAGTCCGCCCGGTGCGGGCGTGCCTGCGCGGTGCGTGTTCCGTCATATATCAGCGGCATCGCGCGGCGGGCCAGCGAAGCCCCCCGCACTTACGGTACCAACTGCATACGAGCCGCTCCAGAGCGCGGCCATGAGCCCTCGTGTGTGCGTCGTGCCGCGACGGAGGAGTCGCCTGTGGGTGCGCGTCCTGAGCGCCGCACCATACTCGTCCGTTAGCTTGTTCCACAGACGCAGCACCGATTCGGAAATAGAGGGGGGCGAGCTTGTGGAGCAGCGCAGCCGGGACGTATGCGCTTCTATTGGTTATTGCGGGTCATGCAGTCCGCGCCAAGGAGTGTGTGCGTCTTCGAGAGCGTGCGGGAGGAATACCGGGCGGTGCGGGTGCGCATATCAGATAATCTGGAGGCGTGAAATGACAATTTGGACTCAATCGCGCTGATGACTTGACATGGAACTGGGACCGTCTTCGAATGCCTATGCGGTATTTTGAAGGCCGGCGCTCAGAAGAGGATATCAGATGAGGTCGATGATTGGTATCTCGCCAACACCGAAGTCGGGGTAGAAGACACAGCCAAGGGTGGTCTTGAGCTCCGTCGCAAGAGCCGCGTCTGCTATTGTCGTGGAGCGCACGTTGAAGGCTCGCAGCGGCCCAGAAGCTCCCAGCACTAGTGTTCTCCGCGTCCGGACAGAACACAGAGATCTGTGCACCCTGCGCGGACACCGGACCAGCTCGGTTCAGCCAGTATATCTCGTCTGGTTCTCCGCCAGGTATCAGCCCGTACCTGAGATGATTGCAGTATGTATACCACCATTACAGGCTTTTACAGGGATACCTGTGCTCCAGGGGACACACGTATGGAGCAGATGATGACATCGGCGATGGAGGGACTCTAATCCCACCGGAAGCGACCACAGAAGCGTCTAGATAGCAGGGCTGGAATGACCCGGCGAATAATGCGCTAGTGCTCACCATTGAGGGTGTTGAAGAGACTCGGAAGCGGAAGCATGGTCGCCGTCGGTCACTACTGGCGATGGCGAGTGCAAGGACGTACGGACTGCGCGGCCCCTGGCCGACCCACAGCCGCTCCGTCGATTCTTCATAATAAACGATTAGAAGGAGAAGTCAGACCACACGAAGGACGGGACGTTGGTCATTTCGACTGCTAGACCGGGATTGACATGAATCACGTGCGTGTCGTCCAATTGTCTCCGGCAGCACTTGTGGCTTCAATTCCTCGATGGGACGATTGAGCCTTCTGTTTGGAGGCCGAAGAGAGATCAGAGCGCAACTGCTAGACGGAGTCGCACTCCCAGCCGGTTTATGGATCCGTGCACTAGCAGGTGGATTCGCGGACGTAAAGACTCTGTATGTGCGGTTGCGAGAACTCGACGAGCGGATCTCCGGTGTCTCGGAGACAACCGAAGCACTGACATGGACAGCCAGCCGTGAAGCACTTGAAGATGGCCGTGAGGCTCAGTCAGACACGCAGCTGGACAAAGGCGGAAACGACAAAAGCACTTGGACTGACAGAGGCCGTTCGGCGCCCTGCGAGCCATACTTGCGGGTGAAGACGAAGCTAGCGATGGTTCATCTGGTATCATGCTTGCAGCAGGAGCACGAGTTGTGGCCACCGTGGCGGAGAGACACCCGGGCAGCGGATGATTAATGGGGTGATGGAGCGAGCTCAGGCGGTGAGCGCGAGACGGTTCTCCTACGAGCGGATCAGGATCAGTGCAACTCACCAGGCTCTACTGCCCTGTGCTCGGAGTACGCCGTCTGCGCAAGAATCGAGGACATGTCAAGCTGCGGCCCAGATGCTGAGATCGCCGAGCTGCCGTTTGCGTTCGTGGTCCGTGGACCCACCCAGTTCGCCGGCCTGGGAAGGAGACGGACTGAGAGGAGAGCACATGGATTCGCACCGGGTGCGATCACGATCGATGTGGCTGGAGAGCTGCAGGGAAGCAGCGACGGTCCATACCACGCCAGAGCAGGGAGACAGATGGGGCCACCATCGCAAGACCGCGCTCACACCCAGGGCACCAACGGCGGAGGCCCCAGGACAGCGGCGTGACACGGCGACGCGGTGATCGTTTCCCGCACGGCGTACGACGCATGGGGGGGGAGGCACAGTCGACAGCGCGCAGTAGGGTGCACCCGCGGATGCGAGCATGTCGTCTCTGGCTGTGCGCGGACACCGCAGACTCTGCGCTCGGGGTGGATCCTGTGGATCCACCGCTGCTTGATCACCTTGGCGGCGGTGGACGACGGGGTGGGATCCGTCGCTGTCGGCGTCGAGCTGCGTCCGGCCCATCGCGTCGCTCCCGAGCTCGTCCTCCGACGCAAGGACGACGCACGCGGACCCCGCTGCACCAGTGGCCTCGAGCCAGAAAGGGCGAGACGGCTCCATTGCGGCCGCAGAGCGCACGAAAGCGTGCGGAGATGGGACCGGCGACGAAAGGTCGGCAGAGTGACGCGGGGTGGGGAAGGCGGGCGGGGACTGGTGGTGTCGACGTTGTTGGCGGAGCGGACCCAGTGGTCCGACTCCGCTGCTCAGAAGACGGCCGGGAATCGGCGGGGGCCCCACGTCGGGCACAAGCAGGAACGCACGCACCCATTGCGAGAGGCCGCACGGGAACCGACGGCGCCGTGGGCTTGGCCCTTGCCAGCCGCACAGATCTCTGCGCCGCACATTCTGTGGCGTACCGGACTCACGTTCACAAACAGCGCAATCGCACCCTCGTGCTCGGATGATGACCGTACCACGCTCTGCTGACAGCTCTTAACCATGGCCATCTGCCCACGAACAGCGAACAGCTCGCGGGCTGGCGTCATGTGAGAGCCCCAGCAGCGAGACGCCAAGCATCCCACCCAGCCGGGGGTCGGCTTACCAGGCGAGCCCCGTCCAGCGAGTGTCGCGAGCGGAATTCGGATAGTACCCCGGACTGGAGGATATCCATGAGCCAGGGCACTGCAGTGGCACCCCCATGGAAATGGTGTCGACTACGTACAGGCCAGAAGAGAGGGAACCCCAGCGCCGACATCGCGACAGGCGACGACGGGAATAACGTTGCAGGGATGGCGGGTGACGAGATACGTTCCATGTAGCCATCCACTGGCTTGAGCTAGTGCGAGGCGGCTTACCAAACCAGGCCGTGTAGATGTGTGCATCCGACGTCAGACTTCGAACAAAGTGCAAGCGCGATGCCCCTTCGCCGCACGCAGAAGGACGGCTCGTGGTTCGTCGCGCTCCGTGCCGTGGAGGCCGCTCGAAGTACGTTCGTTCCTGCGAAATGAGCAGACGTCGCGCGGGCCTTACCTGACGCCTGGTAATGTAGGCTCAGATTATCTTTGCGATGGCCCCCGCGCCCGAGTAGAACACAAGCTCCAATCAAAAGGCATATGAGCGCACACGCTGCTGTTGACCAGCCGCAGACCCGTAAACGGTCCGCGCCCTGCAGCGAGACGTTGAGGATCTGAGATGGATGTCGAGACTCGAGTGGCTGCGTCCTCGTTTCTGCTGGGTTTCTGACCTGGAAATTAGAGAGCGACGTGGTGATGCGCAAGTGACCAATCACGCTCCATTATTCCCGGTCGGTCGGGGGAAATATCGAGACATCGCCTACTCGGGATAGACTTACGCGACGCGGGATGATTGGCTTGCGGGTGGCCTATCCAATGGCTGCTCCGACGTGATTGGAGTCGGGCTCGACTGCACACCAAACCAATGTTTTATTTCTTGCCATTATTTGCTTTGGAAAAAAAAAGACATTATCCACACAGGTGTCTTTCGCATGTATACCCCGTAGCTGGAGTGTCGAATGCTCCGAATTTGACGATGTGTGTTGTCAATCATGATTTCTACAGGACATGTAACGGCATCAATACTGCGTGAGCGCCTCTGGCAGGGCGGCCCTGTGTCGAATCGTTCAGGCTTGCTCCAGTTCGTTTCACAGGTCTGGAGCACCCAAGGACTCCAACTGCTACTGGGTTTTTCTCCAGTTATGCCAGCTGAGGATATCCCAGGGATATCTATCCCAGTGGTTTGAATCCGCAGGAAACACGCGCGCAGCTCGGATGGCGGAAGAACCATTGGGAGAAGGGAGCCAAACAAACGGGAGCAAACAAAGCACGGCGAGCCCAAAGTCTGGTGTGGTGCTTACCTCAGCACGAGGCCGGTTCCCCGAGACACCAAAGCGGGACAGTGAAAATTTGGCTGCGACTTTCGCACCTGCAGACGTTCTGGAATTGATGCAGAAGCCAAATGCGAGCGAAGCGAGTCTCCCTCCAGAGCCTCGCCCTTCAAATACCCCTCCCATCCCCCCCGCCCTCTCTGACTTTCCCCGTGACATCCCCCCGCTGTCCCTGCGCCCGCTCGCCCTCCTCTTCCGTCTCACGCCCACCAACCTGCTGCCGTCTCTCTCAACCTGCTCCGCAGCGCACCCCTCCCCCCCCCATCTCCGCTATCTCCGTTGCGCCCGTGCATGCAAGGTCGGTTGTTACGTGTACAGAAGAGCAGCACACCTGACGAGGTCCGGCACCTTCGACCAGGCTATCGACATGCAATCTTACCCCGCGAAACGAAGCATCGAGACGAGCGCGGCTGAGCTCGACGCGAAGCTCGAGCTTCTCTCGCAGCTGTGCTTGCCAGACTTTGACTGCACCTCCTTCGAGGGGTACCCGTGCCCCCCCTCGTGTGCGGACGAGGAGTGGATGGCCGGATACAAGTCTGTCGTGGACGCGTCCACGAACTCTTCCGTGTCTACCATGTTCGACGACGGTGAGTCGCATGCATACACCCATCCGTTCTCGTACTCACGCGCGGACAGAGGAGGACATGGACGCGTGCAACCCGCACCTCTACGACCCCACCCTGTTCTCAGACCCGCGGTACGCGTCGGGGGCGACGGCGACGGAGTCGCGTGCGCAGTGGCCGCATCAGCACGCACCGAGCGAGATCGACAAGGTATGTGTTTTGTTTCATGTCCGTTTCATGGCGTTCTGGGCCTTGTAGTCCAGTCAGTCGTTTGCTGGGCCGAATGTTCTCCGCGACATCGGTATAGCATATGCTTGACCTCGTGCTCTTCGCATCTCCGTCGGTTTCAGGCGGACATGTACGGTAGCTGCTATAGAGTATAGACGTTTCCCAGACAGGTGTCGCGCGAGGGGCTAAAACACCCCTTCGATCTCCGTTCGGCTACCTCCGGCGGAGGAGGAGAGAACGGCCTGATGGGGCATCTGCCGGGTGTGCCGGCAGCATCGTGTCGTTCTCACCGGCGTCGGGCGCAACGCCCAGCGAGAATGCTCGCGAGTAGCCTGGAATAGAGTTGTCACAGAGACAGATGCTGTGAAAGAAGAATGTGGTGGTCAGAGTTGGACGGCATATGTGGTTTTGCATCCGTGTTCTGCGCGATTTCTACCTTTGTTCTCAACTATCAATCAATGTCGTCCTCTTTGCAGCTTGCTGATTCTGAGTTGTAATGGTAGCCTTTGCCCGAAATCCCACGTCCCTCTCTCATTCGCAGGGGCGTTCCGGATGCCCCACCTCCCTCCCCGTACGCGGCAAAACCGCCGATGCCGTTGCCCTTCTCGGAGACGCCCCCGTCTTCGCCGCTGGGATCGGAGTTTACGAATCTCTCGCGACCGAGTATGACCCCTACACCCCCTGCCTCTCCGCCTCGTTCTCCAAAAGGACATACATTCCCTCGCGCTCAGGTCAACTCCGCGGGCGTCACCCCGGCCGTGAAATCGCGAGCACCTGTTGTGCAGCGGCATGCAACCTATCCCTCTCTGACATCTGCTCTCGATCTGTTGGAGGACAGACATACCTCTGCGGAGAAGCGGCTGGGTGTACTTGTATCGGATGATAGGCAGGTTGGTGACGAATCCTTCCTTCCGGTTCCATCTTCCCGCGACAGAAGTATCAGCGTCGGCCGAAGCGGTGCTGAAGGCATAAAGCCCGCTCTGACAAGCAGGATCCCAAGTCTCAAGCGGAAGCAGCGCCCCGCGCTGCCTGCACTCTCGACGTCCACCTCGTCTCCGCAGCTGCGCACGCTTGTCAGCTTGGGTACAGCATCGTCCATGTCGTCTACCTCTTCCCATGGTACCACAACCGCACCCGCATCTCCAGTTGCGACAATGCCGACCACTTCTCTATCAGACTCTTCCGCCCCATTCCCGTCGTCTCACGCTGCGCTCGAGGACGACGCTCCTCTGCTCTCGTCTCGGTGGTCTGTGGACTCGGTAGCTTCGAGGCCAACACCGTCCTCCCAGGCCTCGCTCAGTCCCTCTTCGGGCCCGCAATCCCCGACCTTGGGCAGAAAGCGAGATCGGCTGATTAGTTTCATTACCCGGGGACGCTCAGGCTCTCTGGGGAAGCCCCCGGCGCCCGCCATGCCCTCTGCAGACCCCGACGTTCTAGACATCAGCCGGCGCTCTGAGGGCAAAGAGCCGCACTTGACGATCGTATCTCCACGCCCGTCCCTCTCCAATCCTCTGCCGCCGCTGCCGGTCGCCATCTCCGCGTCGTTCTCGTCCTCGTCGTCCCGCTCGTCGGCCGCCTCGTCCGCATCCAGCCTCCCCACTCCTGCGGAGCCCTCGCGTCGCACGCCGTCGCCGAAGGTCGCAGAGCTCGCGCCCGCGGCCACCGATCCCGCGAGCGGCGATTTTGAACGCCGGTACTCGGGCTCGGGCGCGCTGCTCCAGCCGTTTGAGTACCAGCAGTGCCAAGACCAGGAGCTGCCGTCACCGCCCGCGTCGCCCCCGCCCGAGCCCACGCTCCCCCTGCCGTCGCCCGGCACGCCGTCGCCGTCGTTCTTGATGGTGCCGCAGCCGCGCTCGCACTCGTTCTTCTCCCTGGCGCTGAAGCGCCGCCCACGCCGCCGCGGGAAGATGCTCATCATTACGGGCGTGCCCGACGACGAGGACCGGAGCAGGTATGACAGCTTTGTGCGGTGGTGCGAGAGTTTCGGGGAGCTGCGGAAGATATCCAGACAGCCCGACGGGACGCTGCACGTGTTCTGGCGGCAGTGGGAGGCCGCGGATATGGTGCGTCGTTCGTGGTGTGTCGGTGTGCGCGCTGGACTGACGCGGACGTGTGTTGCAGGTGTGCCGGCTGAACGCGCAGGTGTCTATCAGGGACGTCGGGCGCGTGAACATCGTCTGGCGGTACACCAACTAGGCGGCGCGCGGCGCCTGCCGGGGCGGCTGCGGAACCTGCGAATCCCCTCCAGCTCGAATGGGCACAACCAATTGCATCTACACTGGCCTACGGACTCTATGGACCCGGAGATATCCACCCAGCGCAGCGCATCCAACGCTCGCCCACCACGCTCGTTAACTCGTCGCTCTGTTTTATGCTGTATTTTCCGCGTGTACACACTCGTTCGGCCCTCGTCGCGGCCCCCCCTCCAACTTGCGCCTTGTATCGTTCTGCCCTGCACATTCACCTGTACCATATGCATCTGCATCGGACCACACACTCGTTATTGCTCTGTTATTCCTCATAGCCATCGCATCTCCTCGGTTCCCCCGGCCTGCCAGTGCCTACCCACCTGCCGACGCCGCCTTTGACTCCCGCGTGCCCTGGGCCTCGCCCCCGCGCGCAGGGCCGGCAGCGGGCGCGCCGTCGACAGCAGGTCCCCGCCCATTCGCATCTCCCCACATTCCTCGCGCGCTCTGCATCTCGTTCTCATCGGGTTCTTGTCGGCTGAGTGTCCTTCTGTGCTTTCACGTGTCTTGCGCATCTGTCGAACCATCTTTCTCGTCTCACCTCGTCTCGTCTTGCATCTCTCACCGCCTCGTCTCGTCTCGCCTCGCCTCGCTTCATCTCGTCTTCTTTGCGCGTCTTGCTCCCGTTATTTTGTCTCGGAGCGTGGTGACATTAAAAGGACAGCGTATGTAGCTGTGGAAAGTAGTGTATAGCACCCAATGTAACCATAGAGTACCATCGACACATTGCGTTAACTAGAATTAGACATCGACTTTCAGACGGACTCGGCGTGCATGGGAAGACACGCGTGTCTTGCGAAGCCGGACAGGGTCTGAGGGCGCGCGGGCATCGGCGTCTGGGCGTGTGTGCGAGGACGCGCAAACCCTGGCCGCGGGCGGGAATAGGCAGGGGGGGGGGCGTCCGTCGTGTATATTCATTGAGGGGTCGTTCGACGGCTGCGATCACGCCGGACGGTGTGTCAATCCCAACCTACTTTCCTCGAGTCCCGCTGGAGGCCTGAGGACGCCCGGGCGTAAGGGGGGATGCTGATGGCTTGATGATGTCTGTCGCCATCGGCGTGCGGCCCGCCCTGCCCGCGCGGAGGAAGCCCGCAACCTGATGGGCTTCGAATTTGGAGTCGACGGGCGGGCCTTGTGACAGCACCGAGAACGAACCTGGATTCATTGGATCACTGACAAGGGCCCGTGTGTTTTGCCATTTCCAGGACCTACGTGTTGCCATCTCATCTCATAAACCTGGTTCTTCATGATCTCATCGTATGCCATCTCCGGACCCAGTGGGTCTATCCTGATCATCAACTTGGCGCACAGGTATCGTACGCATATTCTCAGCGAATCACTTCGAGGTCCCGCGCCGGTAGATTGGGAGGGTATGGACCGTTGGAGCGTGGCTGTCATTTGCATCTGGTAACGTGAGGCCAACGCTGTAAAATCAGATTAGGAGATCTCACTGGCAGACGGCACGCGTGCCAGCTAGCAGATCGAAGGGAGTTGAGGTGCGTAACGTTCCGGAGGCCGAGCGCAAACACCGTTTGCGGACGTGCATACTAGTCCACCGCGACACGAGTGCGTTACTGAAATCCAGGCGGCAAGTGGCCGGTGAGGATTTCACTGGCCAGCCGTTTCTAAACCTCTTCTGGACAGACATTGGCTAGATTCGCACGCTGGCATCCCTCCTTGTCCCTTCATTGTCCGAGTCCTGGAGAGATGTCCTGAGAGCACACTGCATCCTTCTCCGAGGATGTTCCTTATCCAATGCCTGTCGGAGAATGTTCGTCATGATACGAGAGTTGCGCCGCCAGGTAAGCATCAGTGTACAGCGAGTTAAACTAAACTGCACTCCAAGCTGTACGATCCGGGAGGTGGACAATCAGGGCCGCTCATGGGGTTGTTTCTCTTGAGGTTTCTGCTAGATAACGCCAAAGAATGCAGTGGTTCCATCATTACAGCAACTTCGAGGGCAGTAAGTAGGCCTAAGGGAAATCTAGTACAGCCTTCACGTGGGGCCCAGGTGGAGACGGCACGTCGGCACCATGTTGAGTGATCAGACAGATCTCCCATCTGCTACACGGTACGCTAGTGCAAGGGAGAAGATTCGACGTATGTACGCGAACCAGCGCAGACAATACTGTTGGTTGACGTGCGGGCTGATGTGGCACCTTTTCGGAGAGCATGATGTGATAGATTTTTTATTCTTCCTACTTAGGTGTGTCGTTGTATGCACTACCCGAGTCTACAGTGGGTCTTTCAAGGAGTCTTATCGTTGTTGATGCTTCTATGAAAAGATTTTGTATAAATAACAGCCAGATAACAGCGTGAGTAGGGGCGGCGCTGGTATGTCTGCTCAGAACTTGTCGCGTGGGGACTTCCTGTGAACTGTGGCCGGTCCTGATGGCTTCCGACTGGTTGCTAGCGCGGTTGCTTGCCAGCTATCTATCAACTACGCACCCTGAAAGTCTGATCTATGTAGATCACAATAGACTCTGCACGACGGCAGCTTGCCATAAGAGATGGGTAAAATTGCAGATGTCCCGGAGTTTGTAGCTACCACATATAAAGGTGGGGCCCGTGCTTCCACCGAGTTGTTCAGTTTTGCCCCCTCTTCCGAGCTAGGAGTGGTCTCGCAGTGTCCGACTCCTTGCGAGATGAGTTATTCACTGAAGCCGCTAGGCTGTATGCTCGTTTCCAATCTCTTTAGACTTGTGTTTGTGGCGAGCTTCTGCTTTCTCGAATGGCTGTTATTAACGTCAGGTTCATGCTATTTAGGGGATACGGAATTTTCATTGGGCAGATCATATACTATCTGCGGAACTATTATCATGACCGAGTGCTGATAAAATCCTTTGTATGCATCATGTTTACATATTGTCAATCGATTATAATTATAATCCTACAATTTAGGTGTTTGCTTTTCTGTTTGTTTTCTTCCTCAAGCAACTACATTATTTCTGAACTGATTTCTATGATTAGAACTGTTGAAACATTGATAGTTTGTCTTAACTGCCAGGTATGCGCTTGGAATTATGTTGCCTATCAGGTACCTATCTTGAGAACAGGTGTTATGGCAATTACTTGTGTTAAATTCACAAGGTTTGTTTACTGCTCTACCTGTGTAAGCAGTGCCTCTGTTTCTGGTATTCTGTTTCTTTGTAGGAGTTTAACTGAGAAAAAAATTTACAGAACATATGATGTATGCTCTCATTACCTTGAAGTGTAATCAGAACTTGAATATCTGCTTTCTAGGTTCAATATATCATTGGAGTATGTTTGTGCCTACTGTGAATTGAGCTTGTTCACTGACTTGTATAAATAGTGGATCTCAGTGTTGATGATACAAAAGTAAGTTTGTAGATTTTTTTCAAAGTGATCTAGATGTTGCTGACAATATTATTCTTAGCTTTTATCTTTTCATTATACATGCTCGTTTGTGTCTCTGCATTGTTGTATATCAATCTTTACTAATGATAAAATAAAGTTCTCAGATTCTCCAAGACATGGATACAAATATGTATTACAGTTGTTGGAGTATTTTTGTCATTAACTGCTTTTGGTGTGTTGATTGAATACAATCTTACTGATAATTTGCTAATAGCCACTTGAAGGTTGTGCTATATGTAGGCAGTTTTTTTATGCCACTTGAATGCTGTATCTAATCTATTGCAAGAATAGATACAACAAAAACAATGTATGTACTGGTTGGCTATGTTGAATTCCTACTAATACAATTTTGAAGGTCCATCTATGCAAGCTCAGAAAATGTGTGGCAGCAATCAAAAGTGTGTTCTTATTATCTTATTTTGAAATCCTCCATTTAATGAATTGTTTTTAGCTTCAGGCTCCAGGTACCACCCAAGTTGTTGTTACACTGGTGGTGGATATCTATATCATGATAGTATTTTCTTGGGTGTTTTCTTCTGCTAGGTTCAAGGTCTCAAAGTTGTAAGTATTTCTCTTGTGAAAAAACAGTAATAATATCAAGAGGTGTAACAGTACAGGGAACCTTATTGCAAGGCTTACCATCTATTCCATAAGCCGTGGAATTGTTTTATGGTGAGCACTTGTATTCACTGTGAATTTTTCTAACTGCATATGTCTAGCATATTGCAAACCACCATTCTGATTGCTGTAGGTTATTTCAAATGAATCTCTAGATCAAAAGCTAATATACAGCACATCAGCATCTATTGTTAATCTATACCAATAGCACCAGAGTAATTCTGGCTGTTGAATATGTGTTGATAATTTTCACATCTACCAGTTTTTCAAGTATGAGTAAGCTATAATCCACTGATTTTGGCCTTAATTTAGATTGCTAATGCGTAGAACTCAGTCTATTGCAATAGTGCCCTGGCTACGTGTGTATTTCCATCATTATATATCACATCAATGTTCTGACAGCTGCTGAAGATTGAACTATCGCAGACATCTTACTAGCATGATAGGTTACAATGTAGAACTTAATGGGTTCCCCACTGCTCCACTTGATCTCAGTACTCGCCCTTCAGGGATTTTGCAGCAGTAGCACAGTTCCTTGCATCACACTTGTCGGTCTGAGTTGCTTGCCTATGACTTTATGAAGTATTAAATTCAAGGCGAATGTTTTCGCCCTGTCCGATGTCCAGATACTATACTTTTAGCTAGCACAAGCTCGGAGACAATACATGGCATACCGGGCTAGTCTGATACTTTGAGCTCACCGACACCTACTTGATTATTCAACCTTCACAGATCGAGTCGGTCCGTATGAAGCGATATGTATCTGGTCTTTCAAGGTTTATTATCCCCCCCCCGCTCACTGATCTACGCATGTCATTCCTCGAATTGGACTTCTATGTGTCGGCGATGCCGTCGCGCGCGGCCGTCGCAACTGCGCGAAACCTCAAATATCCCACTCGGGGAAGACGATGACCTCGTACGTTGGCGTCCCGGATAGTCTAGTCATGCATCATAGACAGTGTATGAGACGGAATGCAAGCTGAAGGCATTCAAACATAGGCGGATTACGAGTCGGAAGGCACCTGGTTATGTGAGGAGTACAAAGATCCGATGGGCGTGCTCGTCGCATCGCGATATTTACTTCCGAAAATAGATTGAAGCGCATCGTCCCGGTAGCCAAGCACAAACGATCGCAGACTGGTCATATAGTAGTACAATGCATTGTAAGCGAATTGGTCAGTAAAAGAATAGCACATTACTAGAACTCATATAGCGTGCACTCGCTCCCTCTCCCGCCGAAGCTGGCCGATTTCCTCTAATATATCATTCAAGACAGTCTTCAATTCGGGCACGGTAGGTATCAACAACGATTTCATGTACGACCGTTGCGAGCGCATGGAATTCTGAACATCCAGCTCGGGGAATACCGAATCGAGGAAGACTGCGACCTGGCGGAGATCGTCGTCCGGTTTGGCGACATCTCCACGATCGAAGCCCGCGATGCGCAATGGGTGGGTTGAGAGACCGTGTACGCGGAGTTCAGATAGGGGGAACAGTTTGATCTCTGGTAGCACCAAGACGCGAAGCCGAGGACACACAGACACGATGTCAAAGAGGGTCTGGAGGGAGCGGCTGAGGCTTCCGCAGTGAAGCTCGAGTTCTTCCAGTGCCGGCCAACCTTGCGCAATGGAGTGCAACTCGCCAAGCTGACACTGTCCTTTGGCAGGCAGTTGTATGTAGATGCGCAGCGACCGCAGTGTGATCATCGTACGCAGCGGAAAAATAACCCTTTCCACTGTTATGTTGAGGTCGAGCGTAGTCGTAGTAGCCTGAATCTGCAATGATTGTAAAGACGTAGAGACCTTCAACGCAATGTCAGACAAACATGCCCGTAATGACTGCGGTTCTGTCTTGGACTCAAACTGTAGGCCCAGAAATTGGATCATCGACAAGTCGCATAACGCAAACAGTTTGCTGATGATAGAGACCGAACCTGCGAGCTCCAGTCTGCGCAGTGGGGGGAGGGGTCTGGCCACGTCAGCGTCGAGCTGGATCCAGGATGTACGGTCAGATAGTTGGATGATATTGGGTGGCGTCAAAAGCGTTGAGATTGGCGCGTAGTTGACGAGAGGAGCAGCGCTATTGCATGCGTCAATGAGTGTGGCCATGGAAAAAGGACACCAGCCGCCAACTAGCGCGACCTGCTGTATCTGAGCGCAGGTGGCGGCTATCAGAGGGGAAAGGCCATCCAAATCTCGGCCGAACATTTCCTCATTGTTAAAGGCCTGTCGTGAGATGCGTCGCTCATCGGGAACAGCAAGATGAAGAGCAAGACGAAGAAGAGTCGGGGATATCACGAACGGGAAAATTCCCGTGAGCTTCGCATTAACTCCTCGCTGTGCGCAGACAAGACTCTCGACGCACGGAAAGAGGGGACCGTCTATCAGCTTAGCGACCTGCCCGAGGACCAGAGTCTGCATCTCCGGTCGCCATTCGCCAGATACATGAAGTTCGCGAACCTTGTCGGCATACTGACAAAATCTATGTAGTTCGCTCGGGAATATTTCACGCTGGAGATGCTGAAACACCGTGTCAGATAAATGGCGTAGGCTGAAATGAGAACCGCGGCATACATATATGCACTCCTCATCATCATCTGTGTATTTCTCCCCGCGAGCAGACCGCTTCACATAGACCGCCCGAAAGGCGGGTAAGACTTTCAACGCAATGCTAATCTTGTCAATTCTCCACCAGAGCTTGTCTAGAGCATGGGGCAAGAATGCCTTGCAGACACGAGCACTGCAGGCAAGCGTGTTTCTGGCCACTTTTAATTCAGGTTCGTCGCCGGGTCCCTGGAGATATTTAGGATGATAGTACTGAAATATCTCGATAAGGATGTCGTCGCATTCGAGAATACTGTGCGGCGCCATGTCGTTGATGTCAACAAGGGTACGGAAAGTCGGAATAGATATGGCAAGGAGTTGCTGCTGCTGAAGTAAGTTAGTGGGTGGTGGTCGCCACAGAACGAATCCGAGACTTGGTTATAGGTTCAAATCTTGATGCGGTCAATTTGACATAACTTCGATGTGGGAGTGACGCTGGCAGTGCAGGGTGACGCCGAGTGGTGCCCCGGTGCCTTCGGCGAATACTGCCATGTAGCGACAGGCCATCATGATGTGCAGTTAAGAAGTCAATAGGGTGTGTTTACAAGCAAAGAACTCGCAAGTGGTTATCTATGCCACTGCTTAGATTTCGCGAAGCTGCTGTGTGGACATGAGTATCGCCGCACGTCGAAGCCCGGGAGTATATGCGAAGACATACCCTACTGAACAAGCACCATGGTCCTCATCGTGCTAAACGTTTGAAAAGGGCTGCTTATCCACCGGCAAAAGTTCAGCATTTTGCAACGCGAGTTGTAGTAACGAGCGAGGAAGGGAACGTACATCATCACTGCTCAGACAACATCGACTCCAAGTTGAACATCATGATGACCTTCAGATGAAGGAAAAATATTGCCTTCCTGCACAAGCCTCGAGGACGCTGACTTTCGACATTTGCTCGGAGGAGTTGACGCGGTTGCAGTACGCGGTAGCGCTGAACCGGAACGACGCGACGTCTTTGAACTTGCCCTCCTCCAGATAATGTTCACCCAACTCCGCGCTGCTAGGCCGGCATTCATCGCTTCGCACACACTGTTATCCTAGAAATAGCCCTTAGCCTGTTTTGTGCGCTATGCCCGCGCTATGTGCTATCTCCGAGAGCGACCCACTTGAACACCGAGTACCGCGGCTGGTAGGCTGCCGTCCGCCCTACAACCTTGCCTATATATCACGACTTGGGAGGAGGATTAACACTGTTTTTCCGCATTCAATACTCTTTCCATTGAACGAGGACAAGCTCGACTCTGGACGTAGGTGAGCCTGTTGCCACCGACCGACATGGAGCAGTCAGCACCGATCTCTATTCAACAGGAATACCCGATGCGCATTCCGAACTACCACATCGCTCAGCAGCCATCCACACAGTGTCCAGACGTTTATTAAGCCAGCCGAGCGCGGTCTGACTCCAGAGCTATCCTCGTCTCGGTCCCGTATGCGTTGCCGCAGAGGTATATAACATCCTCGCGTCCCCCTGCTCTACTCATCACCGTTACATCCTCGCAATCACCAACCTCCTCAGCACAATGTCTCAGTCTGCCCGCTTCTCGTCATTCTGGGTCCCCGCGCCCGAGCCGGAGACGAAGCTCGGCCGCCACCGCCAGCTCGCGCCCCTCGCGGGACTGCATGT